CGTACCAGATACTAAATCTGCTTCTCCGATAGGTATAAATCGTTTAGTGTAAAATCTACACCAATCAAAGAAGCTGATTTAGTACTTGGTACGCGTACTAAACAATCGGTGTAAACTAAGCCATATACATTTACAAGTTTCGAGTTTTAAGTTGGCTATTCTGAAAAGTTACCAGTCGGTTAAAGTTAACCGACGTTGGAAATAAGTGGCCCTAAGAACAGTAGCAAATAAAGAATGACAAATGCCATGAACACATTTATAAAACGCCTTGTGTTGACAGGCAAGTGACAATTATTTTCATCACTTGATCCATCAAGCACAAAATGTACAAGTACACTGCTATTTCACAGAGTTTAGTGCATACGATACATACGATAACATATCTGATTCAAAGTAGGTATAAATTAATATATGAGTATAATTTGAAGGAACATTGTAGGATTAAAAAGGTGGATGTATTTAGTGATAAAATGCAAAGTATAATATATATTAACGTTAATTTTTCATTATATCTGTACAAAGACTTTAATTTTTTGGGTATCTCTTTACATGCTTGTCACATTTGTGGATATTATTTAAAAATTAAAATACTTCTGCTAAAACAGACTGTTCAATTTACTTATTTTGCTGATCCATTGGCAATATAAGTTACATTTATTTTATTACATTGAAGAATAGATTCTGTATTATATTTTTATATTTATATATTGCATATTATATATTAATATATAAGTGGCTGTATATATAAGTTTTATATTATGTCTGTATGAAAAAAGCTGACGAAATTTTATTTGCACGGCAAGGCTAATCTCAATTGCTTGCAAAACAGCAATGGTCAACACATGTAATTTTATCCAAGAAAGTCGAGATTTGTTCATAACAAGTTATAAGATCAAGCTAAAAATTAGGAAATAAGATTTATTCACATCCAAGATCTCGTGCTAGCTTTTTAAATAAAGCCACTGCCAGAGTGTAGCTACCATTCATGACATCAAAACACAATCTTTATTATAAAAAAATTTATACATAATTTATAACATATAAGATTCTGATATAGTTGATATATGACACTGTCTTTACAGTTATTAAATACTTTCAAAGCCTTGATCTAACATGAATAACAAAGCTTATCTGATGAATAATTTCTTATAAATAATACCAAATTTAGTTGGAATTGTGCCAAATGCTAATAATTTTTGATTACTAACCATTCTTACAAATGATATATTATGTAAATGCAAACGAATAAAGTATTAAACGTATAAGGGTGAAAAAAGTGCACAATGCGCACTAAATGCATCCAATCACAAACTTCCTATAAATAATATTATAAATATAATTTGATCCTTCTTATGTTTTATCGATATTCTTTAAAAAACATTTTCGAATATTTTTTATTTTACTTGATTATATCGTAACTTTTGTACATTATGTTTTGCTGATGCCTTATAATATCCATCTTTTGTTTGAATGTCGTAGTAGATTAAAAGTCTTGACAAAATGTCTTTAAGACGTTAGATTAGGTATTATTTTAGGTACGCATCTTCTTTAAATTTGTGTCTGATAAATTACTTGTTATCTTTGTTCTTAAACGAACAATTGCAGCATTTTGTGCTCTAACCATACGTCTCAATACATTGATACGATTTTTTAACGTTGTTATCAAGTCATTTTTACGTGCTAATTTATTTTCTAAAATGCGTATTTGCGCATAATGCTCCTGACATTGCGTATTGTCAGGATTAACAGAATCTGGATCATCGGACGCAATGGGATATATCAATGGTTCTGCTCCTTTTCGTAATCTTCCACTTGGATACATCATATTTGTTGGGAAATGTCTGCTGCACATTCTCAATTTTCGTAATTCTTCGTCGGATTCCTCTGCTAGATTGTCACGACCACTATTCACTAACCATGTAATTAATCGTTCTCTGTCTTCTATGGGAAGTCGAAAAAATCGCACGTTCAATATATTATTCCTACTATTTATGCCACAGTTCTTGTAAATACACGTACAACAATGAGTTTTCCCTTTTTTATTTGACATTGCGCGATTTAAAATAAACTCAATATTGAAAATGTATCTGCTTCACAGCAGTATACATCAATGCATTAAGTAGATATTCTGCCATTTAAATGCATTTAAAACACTTGCTGGGTTCACACTGAGTCCGATTTCCGACGTATAACGTCCGATATCCAATAAGAAAGATTGTTTTACATAAAACAAACTCTCCTATTGAATATCATACATCGTGCGTTGAAAATCGGACCAAGTGTGAATCCAGCAACTGTCGCACACTGTATTTATATATCGTTATTGCCATGATCTATAAGCAAAACATAGATGGTGAAGTTTATTATTATTAACGGAATAAGAATTCTAAGGGCCATTCTATATACAATGCATTGCAAATGCTCCGTCTTATAAAAAATAACCAGAAATAGCACTTTTTAATTAGTAATTGTTATTCTTCGCGACTGGCGACGGGGCATTTGCGACGCTTTGTAGAATGGCCGTAATGATCTTTATGCTGCCATCGCTAGTGACGTTTGTATTTTATTATTTTGGTTGTATATATATAATATATATATATAATATATATATATATATATATATATATATATATATATATATATATATATATAATCTAATATTGGGATCATTAATTTCATCAACAAAATTTGAAACACTTAATAATAAAATTACTGTTAAACGCAAAAAATAGCTTAACCAACTGTGAAATATCTATGTAAACAAAAAGAAAATAATTAAATGTAAAAAATAAAATAAGCATGTGTTTTAAATTTTATTTTGTAACAAGATTACATTATTGTTTGATAAATAGTTGTTGAATTATATTCCTATATTTCTTATAACATAATGTAAAGAGGAAATTAATGTCTTTATTTAAAAAACTGAAAGTAGTTTCAACTTTTCAATAAAAGAAATATACTTTTGTAATTTACCATTATTGGCCATTGTATTTGCCATTATGAATTTTATTTGTCAAATAAAGTTTTGCTTATATTTTCGTCATTACATTATCATAAATTTTATCTCAAAAGGTACATAAATTACTATATTTATACAGATATACAGATATTTTAAAAAATTCATTAAAATTGTTCTTTATTTTTGTAGTTATATTTTTCACTACTTTTTGTTTTGCAAATGTTTTACAAGCAATTTTAAAAATGTTACCCTTGTTTGTAATCTCCGGCATTTCTGTTGTGAAACTTTTAACTTCTTTTTTAATGTTTCGATATATTCCCTTGCATGTCGCAGATCAGTCATTTCTCCTGTATTACTGACTGCTGAGGCATTCAAAGATACACTATACAACATATATATATAAAATATTCGGAACAAGATATTTTATATGACAATATGTAACAAATATATCAAATTTATTATGAGGATAAATTAAAAAGTAAATGAACATTTAAGGCAAATTAAAGCTTTCAAAAAATCTATCAATGGCTAGCCATTATGATACCATAATAGTGATGCTAGCCTTTAAAAAATCCTTTTACTTTTTTGTTTTTCCTCATAAAGAGTATAAAAAAGGTTTATTATATTAAAAAACTATATATATATATATA